ACCATGTCCATCCCTTTATGACCACCATGTACCCATCCTCTGATGGCTACTTCCAGCAGGATAATGCACCATGTCACAAAGCTCGAATCATTTCAAATTGGTTTCTTGAACATGACAATGAGTTCACTGTACTAAAATGGCCCCCACAGTCACCAGATCTCAACCCAATAGAGCATCTTTGGGATGTGGTGGAACGGGAGCTTCGTGCCCTGGATGTGCATCCCACAAATCTCCATCAACTGCAAGATGCTATCCTATCAATATGGGCCAACATTTCTAAAGAATGCTTTCAGCACCTTGTTGAATCAATACCACGTAAAATTAAGGCAGTTCTGAAGGCGAAAGGGGGTCAAAGTATTAGTATGGTGTTCCTAATAATCCTTTAGGTGAGTGTATATCATATGTCAAATATTGTCTGTGTGTTTAATAAGTAGGCACATTCTTCCACTCACATGTGGATGTCAGCTGAGCAGGCGGTCCTTCAATGCGGCCCAGGACACATTCTGCTATTAGAACGTGGCCACCTCCAAATGTGGACCGAGCAATCGGATCTCGATGCGTTTTCAGTGGGTTTTGGCTGTGTTCACACCTGTAATTGACGCTGTTCACTTGTGATCACGCAGGATGCATGTTAATACCAGGTGTGAACAGAGCATAAATGATTGCTGAACTGTCCATAGAATGTTAACAAAATGCTTAGGAGCCCAGTGGAGCTTGATGGTAGATGACTGGTAGGATATCGCAGGGTGGGGTGAAGTCAGATAATGAGCCGATTCAGTCAAATGAGTCTGACTAGCAATAATATAAACCATAGTTCTGTTGTGACCACACAGCTAGACTTTGTTACAGAATCCTGTACCCAACCCTTCCCAAAACCTACTGGCTGTTTAGTTTTCTTGTTTTTTGCCTTGTCCTGAAGTCTTTTTTATTAATTCCCCTCCACCACTTTGTTAAACCTATAACCAAAGCCCCTGTTCCATACTCCCTTCCCTGTGTCTAACTATCCTCTTTGCTATGCAAAGACAAGCTAACCCTTTTAAAGAAAGTACTTATTAGATTGAAATGCAAAGTGCAATTCGGTGCTGCATTGTCACAGTTACAGTGCAACAAACACCACAAAAACCTGCCAATCATGAAATACAATGCAGCTGAAGTCATTGCTAGTAAGCAATGAGTTAGGATCAAAAACATTAGACTACAGACAACAGGAGCAATGTTCTTGTGTTATAGGCCCACAATGCATTAGCTAATTAGATAAACATAACCAGCATTGTTTGCAGTCATTGAAAGAAATTTGGTCCTGTTTCAGTTTGTCATTTCACAGCAGAAGCATGACTGCACAAATCTGAAGAAAGTCTGGACTTATTTGTGACTGGTCATTGTGGGTCTGCTGTTGGGATTCATCCAATGGCTGCCATGTGGGAGTGGCTCCATAATGTCCAAATGAAGTCCCTAATACCGCCTTGAGAAAGATACCTCATCAGTTAGTTGGCTAACACCCCTACCCCCTGCATGGCTGTGCTGTTGTTCCTCAGACTCTGCTTCGCTTTGCTTTTGGCTGTATTTATGAAAGCCAGAGAAACGTTTTTTAGCATTAGGTTGGGTACGGGATGCTGAGCCGCAGTGACTTTGCCCAATTTGAATGTCAGCACAGAGCCTGCAGGTTATAAATCCTACTGTGGCGCTGAGTCTGCTGAATGCCTTTACTGGCCGGTGTGGCCTCCCTTTGTCGTTCACGAATTCGTCTTGAGGAAAAAACCTTAAATCTTTGTAAGTACAAGCAGCACGTCCATGGCACTCGCTCACACCATGTGGCCTCCCTTATCTCTCTCAATGTGGCCTTTCCTTACAGCTCCGGAAAACCTACCAAAAATACCCAGCTGGCTTGTTTTCTTCATGCCTACTTTACGTGAAAAATATGTAGGAGCTCCATCCAGAATAGAATAATATTTTAAAACAATAAGCCTATTAGGCTGTAATGCTTTAGTCAGCAAACACCTGAACAAACTGTAATTTGCTCACAAACACTGTGTGGTGTATGCATCTTATCACTGCATCGCACAATGATGTCACTGTCACCACCTGGCCTCACCTGTTGATTGTTCCTTATTCCCAACAAATCCCAGGGTCCTCATGTCACCTTCAGGTTCGATTTAGTCTGTTTAAGGACTTCCGTTACCCAACTTTTCTATGTGTCCTTTTCCCTTGCCCTTCAAAAGTCACCCAGGCTTTGCCTGTGCATTACCACTAATTGGACTGCATTAAACTTCCTAAGCACAATTACTGTCCTTTCCCTTCATGATCTACCTTTCACTTCAACACAGAGTGGATTTTTCAGTGCAGCTGAAAATTCACCTTAAGTGTAAAACCTGTAACATATATGTCATGCCCTGCTCGTCCGATCCTCCCATGTGCCACACCCCCTCATCTACCCCGTGTGGAATCTCCATGTTTACCAGCTGTTTCTTGTTGCTGTTAATTAGTCCTATGTATTTAAGTCTGCGTTAGGTATGTTTTCCCCAGTCCGGTCATTGACGTTACATGTTTCCTTTGCCCTTGATAAGACTGATTCCTAATAAACCCCTTATTCCCTGATTCTCCGTCTCCCCGCTCCTGCTTCCTGGGTCCGCGCTGTGACAGTATATTAGTTTGGTGACCTATATATCATAGGCTGATAGGGAAATGCCATTCCATTTGCACACTATACTGAGAAAGTGTGACTTTTCTGAAATCCTGATAAAAATGTTTGGTGTAGGTTCAGTTGGTCCACAGGAATACATTGACATTTTGTGGTGCAGCAGGTTTCCTCAGCACCATGATTAGGGGCTTGTCCTCACTAATAGCTGGATTAAGTGAGCTCTGCAGTGCTAGTGGAAAGTAAATTGATTTGAAACTGCTCAAATGAAAAAAAGAAACACAACTCTGCTTCCCTGAAGAACAACAGGAGGCCATCTTAAAAATAAAATGCTCACATAGCAGGACCACTCTGCCACTGCCACAATCTTCTGATGATGCCTGCAGGTGACAGATGTTCATTTACAGAGATTTACTTGCTCATCTATGACTTACCCAGATGCTTGTCAATAAACCAAACTAATTCGTGCCACACCAGCATCCCTTCCTCCTTGTCAGCACCAGAGAAACAGAAGCATTGAGACGTATTTCTTATCAGGAAACAGTCCAGATGAAGCACAATTGGAATCTTAAACAAATATCCCAGGGTTCACCTTCTTAGCTCTTCTGATTAATTACCTAATCAATCATTCATCATTCAGCAGGAAATCTTATTGCCCCAAGGATATGATGAATTGTTTTTCTCACTGCCTGAAAGGCAATGAAAGGGTCTTAGACGAGAGTCCATGTTTTCGACAGGCTATGATGCCCTTCTCCCCTAAAACTGCAGCACTTGATTCCACTCACCGGTGGTCCTGTCAGAGCAATCCAAGTGTGAGTGCAATCAATGAACTGCTGGTATTTCTGCCATCCCTCCTTCTTCCCTCATCATGAGCCAGACCATCATGGTCACCTGTCCTGCATGGTAAAATGAAGAGCTATCAGGAGATCTCTGGCTGCTCCCAAGCATGGTAAAATGAGGAACTAACAGCTATCAGGAACTCTTCAGCCACTCTTGGGCTGACGCCAAAACCTGGCAGTGTCTCTCAATGAAGGCTGTGTTGGTCTTTCTTGCTCATTTCTGCTTGTTCCTGCGCCAGCCTCTCCCCTTCCCACAATGGCTGTCCAGTGTCCTGTGATCCATGGCATCAATATTTCTGCTTGATTTCTCTCTGATGAAAAGTACTCGCGTTTGTCAGTACTTGGGGCCCAGGTCCGGGTGGATGGCGGGGGGGCATATTGATGTGTGGGGTTAAAATTATAATGGGAACAGGGGGCAGAGCAGTGTCTCTCTGGCAACAATGGAAAACAGAACCTGGCAGAAGGAATCTTAGAATAATTCAACAACTGTTCTACATGAGATATGCATGGGCACATTCCGGACATGTGAGCATACACACGAGTGTATTACATATGTGCCTGAGGAAATATACATGCAAACAGCATAAGGGCACTAATGAAACGTGAATCAAGGTATCAGTGTTTGACTTTCAGCTTGGAAGTCTGTAATGGCAGCATTCACTGCTTGCAGGAGGACCTGACCTGATGAGACATCCCTAACGGCTAAAATAGCCTGCTGTTCCTACAGAATGTCAGCCCCTTATATGTGCGATGAAGCTAATGTATGATTAATACGGGGAGGGATTATCATTTTCATTTATGAATGAAAAGGTTACTCTCCCCTGGATGCACGTCTAATCTCTACGGCGGTTTCCTCGAACACGCTGGTTTCACATGTGGTTGGGGTCACTTCTCGGGCATTTATAAGGAGCGATCAAGGTACGCATTTCAGTGTCGCTACGATATCACACCGTCATATAAGTAAGTTCGCTATAATTACTATGGAATTAAACGTTTTATTTGTCCATTAAGTTTCATGTATCATTCCGTGTATGTATGTGAGAATGTATGTATGTGTGCATGCATTTCATTATTATTATTGTTGTTTTTGTTATTATTATTATTATTATTATTATTATTATTATTACTGTTGTTGCCTTCAGCTGTTAATAATGGCAGGAAGCCGTACATTTGACGCAAAATATCTTTGATCAGAATTAGCTATTAATGAACTCGGCATGTTTTTGGATTCTTTGTGGTCTTGCTATGTCGATGCCATTTTCTGAATATTCTTTTCTGTCGTACTTATCAATAAAGATTCTTAATGCTAACGTAATCTAGTTGAACTTTCTAAGTAAATTATATAGTTGTTCAGCATTTCCTCCATAACAGCAGTTCTATGCAATCAATTGCTTTTAGTGGCAATCCAATTCACTTAAACTTCCAGCTCTTAAAGCGCATTGCTGCATAAGAGGAACATATATTGATAAGATAATTAATTCAGCCCCTCCTCCTAGAAAACGCTGTCATCCAGGCTACTCCCCACCGCAATGAAGCGGCCGGCGGTGTGGAGGAAATCCCTCTTGGTCGCGGACCTCGCAGGGAGCGGGACCGTCGCTTATTTTCCGTTCCGCGGCAGGATCGAAAAACACCGTTATTTCTGACGCGAGGAGACCGACCTGAGCGCCGCTGCGTCCGGGGATGCCGGCCACTAGCTTCCCGTTGCCGTCTCCAGAGGCTGATTCACAGTCCGAGAAGCCTAATGGTCGTTTATTTTAGCGATCTTCTTTATATTCTGCATCTCATTCGGATATTTCCCACGCTCCTCAAATGAAGAAGATTAATGTAAGCATAGAGGGGGAAAGTGCCTTATTTAAGAGCGTTGCTTACTCCTTTTCTGCAGAGAATCTTTTGAAATACACTGATTAGTAAATTAATGCCGGTCTTTCAGTAATGCTAAGGGATCTATCAATACTGGAGGAAATACTTTTTCCATTTTTAATGTTTATTGGGTTTTCTTCAAATGTGACAGGATATATGAACTCCAGAGAAGGGCGACTCGGAAACATCCCAACCTGAAACGCACTCGCCTGAACCGAGGCGTTATCCTTGCCAATTCTGCAGGCGCCTCAGCATCCTATCTGAGTGGGATTTAAAGCGCTGAAATGCGTGGCGATTTGCATTTATTTAAAAGGGTTCATTTTCAGCACATCCCGCGTCCTTCCCTTGACACTATGCAAAAGTTGAGAAGCGCGATGTGAAATCATTACGGGAATCGTACGCGTAACTGCACTGACTACGAACGCTGATCCTGATCTGGCTGCGTATCACCGAGCTAATTTATTCTTAACTTGATTTGCGTGGGTTGCGTGCGTTTGTGTGTGTGTCTATATATATAGACGGCGGTTGACTTTCAGCATGGATGGCAATACTCGTGTGTGTGTGTGTGTGTGTGTGTGTGTGTGTGTATTTATATATGTCTGTGTGTGCGTGTGTCTGCGACAATGACTGACTTTACGTTTTAAAAGACATAAGGACGTCTCTGTACCCGTAGTTGCGCTGGAAATCGCAACCCATGTGGCCATCGGGAGTGGGCAACCGACTGCCATGTCCCCGCGAGTCCGCACTCCGCAGGGCTGCCGTCAGCGGCAACATCCCCGCGCTCCCGCCGCACCACGTTCCCACTGGCCGGAGCGTCCGGGTCTTCATCAGTGCCAACCCCGACGGTAAGGGAATCTAAGGCGATAAATAAGCACCTGTGTTTCGGTTCCGAAATGATATCCATCATGCATAGTTAGGGAATGCGTTGCAGTTATTTATAATAAATATTAACGATGCAAAAAACTAAGTTTTAGTAATGTAATTTGCCCAAAAACACCTGTTAACGCAGCTTGTGAAATTATACGGTTTATTGTAGGCTACTTTTGTGAGCGTCGCATTTTGGCAGTGTGAAAACCAATGTAGGCCTATAGAAAATACTGTTCTGTATCCAGAGTTTAGCAACCAGTATAACTGTTACCTAATTTTCTACACTGTAATCTGCAATAAAAAAAAAAAGAAACAGTCAACGGTTGAACATCAGTCGTGTGTCACTAATATGATGGGCAGCAATTATTGAAGCGGGGAAGACAGCAGTACATCTTGCGCTTGAGCCCCGGCGCCGAGAGCAAGCGATTCCCGCTGGGGACGATGTCCCTCCAACAATCGTTTAATGGCTTTGTTAGATTAAATTACCAGACGATGCGGCCGAGGAGTAGTGCGTGTACAATCCATTTGTCCAACGGGAGCGGAGAAGTGAGCGGCATGCAGTGGGGGAGCCTCTTCTCCATTCAGTTTGTCTGTCTGGGTTACTTTTTTCCTTGAAGCGCAAAATGTGAGAGTCAGGCAGGTTTGGGCGTTTGTGCCGCTTCCCCATTTATATGGTAAATATCCAAGCCATAGACAAATATGTCCGATTTTTTTCTGAAATCTTCCGAATGTAAAACAAACGAAATACTGTTAAATGACAAAGCACCACAAAATAAGAGCTGGTTTCAATCATGTGTTTCCTTAAATGTCATTGGGCTTCAAGTAATGAAGAAAAAATACGCACAATTTGAAATGTCTGATTTCCAGACTTATAGGGGAGATTGTAAAAATAGCCTTAAACAAATACAACAAAACAAGCCAGAGGAAGAGAGAGAAAGCCACAAAGAGATACATTGTGTCCAAAATCATATATGCTGTTCTTTTGGCCTTTGGTTTTAAGCTACTTGCAATAAGCAAAATTAGCTTGAAACCATTGTTTTAAAAACACCTGCAAACGATCTTCATAAAGATTTTTACAATACTAATTGCATTTTTGGAAGAAATCGAATGTTGCATACTTGATTTTGGGGATTATTGGTACCTTCTGGACAATGTTATTCCTGTAACCATTTAAACCTCATTAGCAAAGAATAGAGGCAGGCATGGGGAGGTGGGATGCTGCGAACAGCTGATACAACGCTTTGTGGTGGTCTATAAATTCAGTTAATTTTAACTGGATTATGTGCCTAGGGGTCGTCTGAAAATTCCTCACTTGAACCTTAGTTGTGAAGATAAACCAGCAGCAGCCGGTGCTTAAAGTTGGGGATTTCCTCTGTATTTTTTAACATGCATGAATCTTGGTCAGTGACTAATCTCTATGTATTCATCCACCTCATAACTGTTCTAGTGAGGGTCACTCTGGGCCTTGGAGCCTGTCCCAAGCAGCACGGGACACAGGGGAGGGGTCCACCCTAGACGGGATGCATATGCATACTATGCGCAGTATAGAGACGCCAGTTAGCGTAACTGCTGACTTTGGACTGTGAGAAAAAATCTGGGCACACAGAAAATATCAACGCGACACAGGGAGAGTGTGCAAACTCCAAACACACAGAGCAGGGATGGCATTCAAGCTCCCAGTGCTGAAGGTGTGAGGCAACAATTCTTCCCTGTGAGCCACAGTGTCACCTCTAAGCGCTATATATACTGTAGGCATATATAGGTCAGTATCAGCAACTTATTCTAGTTCAAACTGTGGTCAGGAGAGGGCATGGAGTCTTTATGATGTTGCCAGTTTAAATCCCTGGCTGGGAATTTCTGAATCCCCTAGAATCATCCAAGGCTGAAGCTCCGTAAGCTGCACAAGTCGTTATTTACAAAGGTCTCCACTTGTGAAATAATAAGAAGTCAGCGACTGGATAACCTGGAAGGGAGAATGGATATTTCCTGTGACCAATGCGATTCCATAATGATGGAGCCCTTGGGGTCCGAAATTTGGCAGCAGCTGCAGGGCTGAAATGGGCTGTTTGTAATGACGGCCATGGACATGTCTGGGTGGGCTGGTGAGCTTGGAGCTCGTCCAGGAGGAGCAGCGGTACGACGTCATCCGCTTAACCGCCCTTCCGGACCCTGTGAACACGGCCCGCAGCTCTCCCCCCGCAGGAACACCTTCCACATTCCCCCGCATGCTGCCGTGAAACCGCTTCTAGCCCTCTGGGTGAAGGACGGCCGGTTGCACGGAAAGCCTTAGCGATGAGTGGCAGAATGCAAGAGCCTCCCATCTCCGTGCCTGCCGTGCAGGCGGCTCACAGTCTCATGGGGATTCTGTGTTTCTCAGGAGGGGAAACACCCAGCTTTGTGGCCCCTTGCAGTGTGTCCACATCACCACTAGAGGGCATGGCGAGTGCACTATGGAACTTGTTATCCAAGTGTCGCTGGCCAGGTGTGGTGGCACCGAATGACAAGACGGATGTCTAAGTCGAACCCATGGCACGGGCTTGCACAAAAGTAAATTTTCTCTTTCTTTAGTGTAGGCGATGGGTTCACAAATGCAAACATCTACTGAACACCTACTGGACACCTGGAAGAGCTCTTAAACCAAAATGACGTTCAGTCATTTAACTGAGATACGGCCAAAATGATCATGTAGAAGCGTGCATACCGATCTGGAGAGCGCTTGCGTTTCCAGGGCTGAAAGGGCTACGATCCACCGGTAATGAATCGCACTGACACAGGCTTGACGAATTCGGATGGTTTTAATTCTAGCCAGAGAGCAGAGTGTCGCTCAAGCTGCCTGGCTGTTTTGGGAATCAATTAAAAAGCGTTATCTTCTTCTGTCAGTCACCACACATTCAACTGCAGCCAGAAAGGACAAAAGCAATTAATCACTATATCTGTCTGGAGCTTGTGAAGGTTTAAGCTGTGATGTGATCGGCTCCTTATCCTTAAAAATACCAGTTATAGTAAATGGTTATGATAAAAGCCTTCATTTGTGGGTTTACACACTATACTGGATAAATCAAATAAAACATCTGGATAAAACAAAGGACGAATACATTAGGTAAGCAAATAAGGGATGAGAGAAACAGAAAACCTTTCATGCGAGACATGAGAATATAAAAAGCAATGGCTAAACACATTAGCCAGCGCTAACACTAATGACATTAATACTGACAGTGAATGACGTGCATGAAGCTCCCTGCACACATCCACAGTAAAGACCCCCCCCCCGCCGCTGGCTCCGTCGAGCAGGGTAGCCAATGAGCCAAAAGTCGCAAAGCCTCTCAGATCCATGAAATTCGTACGGTGGTCAGAAGATCTCACATGAGAGGTGGAAGCGTTGTGTTCACAGGTGTGCGGGGTGGGGTGGGGTCTGGCCTTCAAGATGGCGCTTGATTGGATGTGAGTGTATGTATCCTACAGCCCAGGGCCCCCGTGCCCATCCCCCACAGAATATTCCATTACCATCCGTCTTGTCAGGTATTTAACTTTGACATCTATAAAACTGAGCTGAATAGGGATAGAGTCTCTGGGGAGCTATACCATTACAAGGGGGCTGTAAGGTAATGCATTTGTTTTCCGTGACTGGCTGAGCTAGAAGTGGGAGGTTATCAGTGTGGTTTCAGGGATGGGGGGGGGGGTGCTTGTGGCTTCATAATGCCCCCTCTGATATCTGACACCTGAAGACTGAGCGAGAGCTCATTGCAGAAACGGCCTCTGCATCACTCTGGCATTTGTTCTTACTTGTGTCATTTGTCTGCCAGTGTTATTTTAAAGAATCGGTGGCTGTGTGGAGTGTCAGTGAGGCACCCAGGGCAGGATAGCGATTCCTCTCACCTTAGCTGTTTATCTTACATCTGCTGACAGCAGCATTTTCCTTTCGCTGCCCGTCCTGCGTTTGGATTCTGGATGAGTCGTTGGGGCCTCTGCATCTCGCCCTCCCGCCCTATGTGGGTGCGTGTGACCATCAGAGGTGCAGGTGACCCTCACCCTGGCCCCCTCACCCACCATATACATGACCCAAAATCTATCATGCAGTTTTGTGTTTCAGAAGAGACTAAATACAAATTAACAAAGCAAGATGTAACTGTGTGGCCCAGCATTAAGATTGAATCAAAGACCTACTGTAACACATGCAGAGAGCCTGGATGTTCTGCAAATGAGGCAGCCTCCCTAGGCCCCTGGTCTCCAGGTCTGTAGCCTTCTCCAGCATTAACATCAAGCATTAGCATCCGATCTGAGTGGTTACACAGCCAGTAAAGGTCAACTAGTGTCCCCTCCATCTCCAAAGCTGTGTCCCCTTATCATGAATAACAAGATTGCTTACATACTGCCTGAGAGAGGGAGATAAACTCAGTATTGGCTTTCAGATATCGACAGAGTCATATTAATTTGACACTTACACGTGAGAGAGCTGCAGAGAGAGCCCCCCCCCCCCCGGCTGGATTACTTTCTAATTCGGAGTGTTCGGGGGGCAGCGAGGAAGGGGCAATGAGGGCCGCGCCTCGTCGAGTAACAGAGCACAGAAATGTAATGAGGCGTGACTCCTTAAAATAGCACTCTCCTCCTTCACAGAAATGCAGACTGTTCTTATTTGTCCATAGTATTAATATTTGGATTAAGGAGACTAATCCTGTGCGTCATATCACCAAAGTAAACTTAGCTAGTGGATTTATCTGAGAGCGGCATGATGTGAAATTATTCTTTGACTGGTTTGGGGCTGGGGTGCGGGGGCTTTGGAGAGGGAGTGCCTTATCCCTTCAGGGTAACTCCGAGCATCAGACAGGGAGGAAAGGAGAGAACAAGAATGAGGGGGCGGATGAGGGAGCACAGAGTCCGACACGCTCAGGGAGCCGTACCGCACCCCAGGTGGCAGCGTCATGGACTGCAGCAGCCCGGCTTCCGGAATGTTCTTAGTCTGAGATCTTTTGTGTAAGACAAGCAGAAGGACAGTTTGACTCCCTCTGGCCTGTAACCTGTACCACTTCCACCACTGTCTTCAGTCGGGTGTTAAATCCTTATAGCTTCTGCGGGAAACACTTGCAAAGAATCGAACTCCTTTATGTTTGGTTTGTGTACGCATATGTGCCTTGGTCCTGTTCATATACACCTCTCATACGGGCTGACAATGCCTTCACAAGCTACTTTCCTCACAAGCTATTCCTGACAGCATGTTGTAGTTGTTCCCTTCTGTAGCATAGCTTCAGAATCCTGTGAGCTAAGCAAAACCGGGCCGATTCGTCTGTGACTGTGCCGATGTGTAATTTTAGCAGAGCTCCTGTCTTGAAAGAACAGCCGCTCTCTTTATAGCTACAGTATATTTCCTGGAAAAGTGACAGTCTTTGTTATCAGTTTGGCACAAGTAGAACCCCAGGAAATGTGGAAGAGACCTTCGTACTCGGGTCTTTATGCCAGGCGTGTGGTTTCTGACTTGTGTCCCGCGTCCACACTTTTGATCGACTATGCTTTTGATCCGTAACGCCTGCCGACGATCTCTCTGAGTGTGAGCCCGTCCCCGGTTACACACAGATTCCCGAGGCCGTCAGCTGATTCATGCCATTTCCTGGACGTGTATCTCCAGTGCTCTCGCTCTCAGCTGATGGGGGGGCGCCTTTCAACAGATTGCACTATATCGTGGAGCCTGGCGCATCAAACCCGCCCACACGAGACAAAAGGTCTACGCTTAATATACCTCCTACTGACATTATTTTGCTTTGAGTATAACATACAAATATATGTGTCAGTGTCATATTATATACAGTACGGCACTGTGGAAAACAGCTCTTTCTCTCTGATTTTCTGCCTGCTTGCTATCAGGATGTCAGCTTAAAGTCTCTGTTAGATAACATGGCACCAGAAGAAACAAACAAAACAACTTTTCGATCCTTCTCTCATGTATTTTGTGCTGCAAGCAACGCAATGTCTTATGTCTATAATCGCTGTAAGAGAGTAATCCTTCTGTCATACCCACAGAATGGCTGCACCACATTTAGCAGCATCTAAACACCTCCGGTATGATGGTATGAGTCCCTGTTAGCACTCAGGAGTGCTGCTGAATGGAGCATTTGGATTTCAGCAGATATTTATGAGCCAGCGTCAGCCAGCCACAAAGCCCCACGAGTGGCTCACCTGTCCATAGAAGATTGTGAGGATTTTCCAGGTGGCTACTGACAAGCTTGAGTCTTCTTGTCCTTCTTAATGGGCAGTGTAGTGAAACGGGTAAAGTTTTATGAACAGCTTTCTAGTTATTAGTTAAGGCTTTGGCAATATTACGGTAATAAGGCAAACCACAGTATTTTGACATCCCTACGATAAAACTAGCTGGGACCACCCCACACCTGCTCAATGAATTTTATCGGCAAGATTTAAAAATGCCAGAATAGTGCTGCGTTTTAATATACCGTATACCTTATGGTTTAATGTTTGGACAGTGTGAAAAATTAGATATTCAGGTTCCTCCGACCCTCCTCATACAGCTGCTCACCATAACTACTACAACAGCAACCCTTCTTCCTTCTTCCTCTAGTCTTTCGTCGTTGACCACTGATCTGTGAAAGTCCATGCTGCCACCTACTGCAAACACCTACCCAATTATCTTGCACATGCTTGTTCGATGCGCATGGATGCGCATGGTTTCCACTAGACATAAAAATCTGGGCTACACGTGCACTGACCACAATCAACCGCAGTCAACCTCTGATGATAAAATTTGCGTCACGTTCCCTCGACCGCAAGCAAAAGCAAGCGAGGAAAAGTGACGTATGAATTGTGTTTCATTGTTTCCAGACTAGCATGCACTAACTTTCAATTGTGGTTCTAGAACCTGCATACAGCTTCACACTGGTGGTGAGGCCAAAGTTCATTCATATTGATATTGTGCACGACTGACCCAAATCAGGCCTGACTGTTTGCCTTTGTATCTAACCAGCTGGTGCTAACTGCCACTATCATTTATGCTCACTGGAGAAAGGGAAGTAACTTCTCCACACCTGTGCAGTGGGAACATCTTCAAAGAGAAGAAGCATGCAATTTTGCTGCCATTTTTCTCTCAATCTTCCTGTACAAACTACCACCCACAAAAAGAGGCAATACACGGGGAAAATGTGCTTAACAAAGGCTTTTTCATAGTGCTGCAAAGGCAGATATAAAAGCATAAAAGGTCAGTTTTCTTGGTTTGCGCTCAATATCAGTGTAGTTTTCTTTAATATTTAATATTAGTCTTTCAATCTGCCCGTCTGCCTTAAGGACTTTTCCAGTGCAGGCCTGAGGTGGACCTGGAGTCTGTCCCAGGAAACGTGGGGCACAAGGCAGGGGACACCCTGGATGAGATGCCAGTCAGCATTAAATATTTATCTGTTAAATTCGTGATAGGTTATGCTCTCTGAAGGAAGCCTAACCGATGTGTTTGTTGATTCGTCAAACCCCTTCAGCTGTAGCCCACGGACCGTGCTCTCTGTTGGAAATGTTTTAAACACAATACTCTATACAAATAGTATTTTATTGTGTGTTAAAATCTGTTTTAGTATTTATTAGAATAATTTTTTTACAGATTTTGTTAATGAAGTATACGTACCATACCATGCCAAAGGCTTCTAGTGAAAATTGTGTTGGTGTAAAACTATGATTTTAGTCAAAGTGTTCAGTCAAAACCTCTCCAACTATCACCACAGTGTTTGAAGTTACCATTCAATGTTTTTGTTGACTCACACCATATCTGGGTAATCAATACCTCATTTAATGACTTTACTAATTGTTAATTAACTAATTGAACTGGTGGTGAAATTTAACAAATATATGGAATGACTAGGGTGCTCCTGAGGAGAAGTTTGGGAACTAAAGTGGTTCTCATGTTACTATTCACTTGAATATATTGGAATATTAAATTGTGTTAATTTTTTGAACAAATACACTTACTTTCCAGATAAATAGCATTTAAACACTTTCTTTGATGACCTAAGACTTTTGCACAGTACTGTACATATTTTATATGTAGAAATGTACAGATGTGTGTGGGCTGCATTGGACTGAATTCATAATGGAAGCATTTTTCCTGCTAGTAAAGCTTTTGCACTTGAAGCTGATTCATGAAGGCATAAGGTAGCTCGTCTTGCTTCTCCATCACCACGGTCCAGAAGGACATTTTCCTTCCAGCGCTGTCCAGTTGTTCGCCATACGTTCCTCCGCATTCCCTCGTGAGCATATCTTTATATTTCCTGCGACACCTCAGCTGGTGACAGCTTCTGCAATCGCTAGGCTGCACTCTGCATGCACATGACGCTCACTCTGGGGGGGGAGGGAGGGGGGGGGGGGATATCTCACTTTCCAAAGGCTCGCTCTCTAGCCGAGTGTGACACCAAGCTGATTCTGACTATGCGCTCTGCAGTCTTTTCCTACAATAAACAGCCAAAGAGACACGTGGGACCTCTGAAATGGTCAATGAGGTCTGTTAGACCCCCCTCCCTCAAACTCAGCCCTGATCTTAAGCTGCATCCTGTAGAAATAATGGTTCACGCACACAGCAGACTGTACATGTCCCCTGCTGTTCAGGATATGCCATCTGCTGTGGTCGTGTGACCGTAACATCTTGTGTATAATTGTCCACCCCCCCCCCCCCCCCCCCCCTTTGGTCCCCATGCAGACACAGAGGCGGAGAGGAACGCCCTGAAAGAGCATGTCTACCCAAAGCTGCGGGACTTCTGCCGAGAGAATTATGGGATTGAATTCCAGGTAAGATATCTGTGTTTCCCTGTGTGTGTGTGTGGATGATATGTTGACAGAATTAGCAGCTGCTTTTCAATTATTTCATAAACACGACTTTATGAAACATGACAGACCACAAACTCACAGGACAGGTTGTCAGGCTGGCTTACAGTTCCTCAGTCAGCTCTCCGCAGCCCTCAACCTGTCACCATGATCATCCAGTCAGATGATTAACGCACACTGGACTAAACACGCCTCTGACATCACATGGGGGGGGCAGCGTGTTATGCGTCCTGACAGGGCTACCAGCTTAATCTGCTCTCAGAGTTATGAGCAGTCAGTGACCCTACCAATATGACCCTACCATTCATCTTTTGACCACTTTTAGCGGACAGGATCACAGTGTGGGGTAAAGCCCACCCCAAGCACAAGGTAGCTGTTCATACACACATGAGATGCCAGTCTATCACAGGGCAATTTAGAGACACCGATTAGCCTCCCTGCACGTCATTGGGCGGCAGGAGGAAACAGGAAAACCAATAAACTGCAGGTGTGGGATTCAAACCGACATTGCAGGAGGAGTAAGGTCCCCCACTGGGCCAGCGTGTCACTTGACATACCTCATAGTCACTGCAATTATATTTGCGGTAAGAAGATAAACCTACATAAACACAAACACAAATAATCAGGCAGCATTTTACTTGAAATACAGATAATTGCACAGGATTTAATATACAGGGAATCATGCAGGGTTTAGTATAAGAATATACAGATAATCTCACGATAGTTCAAATTTAGGTAATCATGCAGGGTTTAATACAAGAATATACAAATAATCACACAGGATGTATATACAGATAATCATCACACCAGTGAGACTTAACCCACAGACCTGTAGGTGCACTGGAGGTCAGAATGAGGGCAGATCCCCAAGTGCTGCTTGATGCCTCGCTGATGAGGTGGTACCTGAGGTTGTTAAGTGAATATATTAGCATGAATCCTTGCAGGCTCTGATTAATACATTTGCATTTTAAATGTGTCTAGAAGGGTGAAGCTATCTCAAAAGTCTACAGCTAGCTGCTTCTGACACACCAACCAAATACAAGCAACTTGACTTCTACTTTCCAAAGTTTGCATGAATATTAATCACCTGATTCAATTAAGTTAATCTCAGTTCACATCATTATGAAGGTCTGATGAAGCTCCTACTTGCAAATCAGTGCAGGAATCCATAAAATACATTCTGGTTACTTGAAGGCACCCTGGGAATTAAAACGGAGCTGGAATCAGGTGAGGAAGCATGTTGCGCGTTCCTGCACAAGCTCTGTAACTGACAGGCTCTGTTACCATGAAGGCGTCTCCACGAATCCTGAGCCGAAACCTGAGGATTAGCGGATGCTGTGCTGTTAATAAAATGTCACAAAGGAGTTGCTCAAGAGATGACGCAGCGTGGCTGTCATGAAATAAAAAGCCCTGCCCCTCTCAGAGGACCTATGGAAAGTGCCCCCTGTGCGCTCTCACTGGCTGGGCTCCCCAGTTTTCCTGCTTACCCCACACGCTCTGATTTGGGAATGGAAAGTGCCCCCTGTGCGCTCTCATTGGCTGGGCTCCCCAGTGTTCCTGCTTACCCCACATGCTCTGATTCGGGAATGGAAAGTGCCCCCGGTGTACTGTCATTGGCTGGGCTCCTCAGTGTTCCTACTTACCCCACACGCTCCGATTTGGGAATGGAAAGTGCCCCCGCTGCGCTTTCATTGGCTGGGCTCCCCAGTTTTCCTGCTTACCCCGCACGCTCTGACTCAGGAATGGAAAGTGCCCCCGCTGCGCTTTCATTGGCTGGGCTCCCCAGTGTTCCTGCTTACCCCGCATGCTCAGTTAATCTGTCAGATTCGGGAATGGGCTGCCTTATGAACGCAGCTCTGTTCTATGAGCCTCATCCCTTTCTGTGAATTTATCCCATTCCACACACCCCGTGCCTTCCTGAGTGCCATCGGCTCAGCAGCTCTGCCATCACCCCCCCCCCCCCCCCCCCCCCCCCCCCCCACAACACAAACACATACACAAACGCACTGGGGAATTGCGGTTCCTCTACCATTGTGGGCCCTCAGCCATAGCCTCATACAGTCAGAGAGACACATGCTTTCCCACTGTAACTGGATTGGGATGGTAAGGGGGTAACATAAAGGGCAGATGTATGCTGCTCTGCTTCTGTGTACAGTCTCCCAGATCACCCTACAAATTCATCATCCTTATCTCCAGTGCTACCCTTTCACACTGTTTTATAAAAAATGCTCCTTCTTGGGTTTCCTGAATCCTCGCTACCACTTTCCCATCAAAGTGTCACAGTCTGACCTCAATCCTCAGCCCCACCCACAGACACTTCCTGTAATGCTTAAGCGTCACAGGAACTAATGTTCAGGGCCCCGGGACAGCACTTGCCGTTCAAATTGAGGCTAACCTCCATCACTGCCTATGAGGTTGCAGCAGCTGTAGATAGCTGGAATTAAGGCCCTCATTACAGTTGCAGCAGGACATGCTGTCTTTCCCAGGGAGCCCCAGGGATAACAGCTAGCTGGGCATCAGGCACCAGAGAAGGAGAAGATCCAGGGCCTATTTGATGACATCATACTCCACATAAACAGGACTGAATATCTTTACAGCTCTATTAGTGAGCTTCAAACAGGGCTCTTTCAAGTATCGATCAGAACAGCAAAGGTGTACGTCTCAAACAGCTTTCAAGCACCAGTTCTCTTTCAGCAAGGGATCATTTACCCATGAGAACTAGACAAAACATCTGCCTAATGTATTTCAATTTGTCAGATATTTAAACGATTCTGAGCACGTTAATCCTCTCCAAGTTAATCTCCCTGCTTGTGTGAGGGGCATGTTCCCTCCCCTGCTTCTCACAGACATCCAAAAACCAGCACTTTCCTCACAAATGTTAGGGGGGGGGAGGTGTTGCAATGTTTGTTGCTGTTTCACTGCCCTTCAGGGGGCTGTAAAAGCACTCATTGAACACAAGGCCTGTGTGTGTGCGATCTTATGCCTTTTGGGATGAAGGTGCACCCACGTCTTCCTTCGGGCGTATCGACCAACATGCAGAGGGGCGAGCCTCTGATTTAAGATGCCCCCACTTCAGCGGGAGTCCTTTATGCGTGTCCTACAAGCTTCTGCAGAGACTTAGTGACGCAAATATATGAGCTGCCCCACCTAACTGGCTTGCCAGGGGGTCCGCAGCTTCCTTTGCCCAGGTGCAGACTCTGTGCCCCCCTCCCCAGCAGAGGTCAGACCTGGCTTCATTGCACACAGGGAATGCACCTCCCCAGCCTGGACTGTGGGACAGCTGCCATTACTGTAATATGACTGTTAAAAATACTGCCTGCTGAGGCCAAGCACTATATTCCTGCATTTTAAAGACCATATGGACTCTGTCCCCTTGAGCTGGTTTGAAGGAGGGGCACAGGCCAGAGATTCGGGGGATTCATTTAAGACTGAATCGAGACAAGCAGAGGATACAGAACCCCCCCCTTAGAGGAGGGCAGTGAGTGTACCTTCGTAGTTTAAGTGGGACTGTCCCAAGGTTAGCATTACGCCTCTGCATAAATGAAGCAGGTCAGAGAACAGTAAGCTGCCCACACGGGCTAATTCTGCAGAGACACCAACCACATCACGAGGCTGCCACTCTCTCCGCAACGACACTGTCTTTCTCAGGTTCAGCATAAACATGATAATAGTCTGTACTGTAAGCTGAAACTTCCCTAAACGTAAACAGCCTTTCAGGCTGAAAATCCTAAAAGACAAGAGCCGTCACTCACAAACTGAAGTAAAACGGGCACGTAGTTTGAAAAAAATATGTACTGATAACTGGATTATACCAGTTGGTTGGTCACTGACATACAGCTCAGGTGGCATACTGTGTGGTGTCTCGCTGTGTTTGCCACCTTGTGATTGGGTGCGGTTGGTGCTTGTATCGTTATTGTCGCATGTCAATGATGTCAATGTCAGCCAGAGCACATATTCATTACGATCACTGAAAGTGACCGCTTTCTGTCTTACACGGTGACGGCCTTCACCACAGCACAGTCGTCTCTACCCACTGCAGTCACATGTACCGCAGACCTTGGGTGTTTGTTATTTGCTGAACCAGTGCTATTTTTAAATTAAGCAGCATTTTCGGTGTTGTTGTTTACCGTGAGTGTCGGTCATTGAGGACAAGGGGGTCGCGTAAGAATCATGAAACCAAATACATATTCACCATGGAAAGAAGCAGGAGATAGAATTATGCACTGCAGTGCTTAGCGCAAACGCAGACTGAGGGGTAAGATGGCTTCTGCCGATGAATCTCTCCATCCGTCAGCCTGTTACACAGAGATTGCTGCCTGCAATCACATTACCTACAGCTCCCCTGTCACAGTGAAGATGCCTAATGTCTTCATCTAGATTTTAATTAGACAGCTTTGTTTTGCAGCCATGCAGATAATAAACTAACCCCCTGTACCTTTTTATAGACGTGCAGTCCACTGTCCTCCAGCGATATGTTAACATGTTACGGTCCCCAGTGCAGGGTTAAGTAACTGGCCAGGATGGTTATTGAGCTGGTCAACATGGTTAAGGAGCCAGTTAACATGGTTAAGTAGCTGGTCAGAATGGTTAAGGAGCTGTTCAGCATGATTAAGGAACTGGTCAGCATGGTTTATGAGCTGGTCAGCATAGTTAAGGAGATAGTCAACAAGGTTAAGGAGTTGGTCAGAATGGTTAATGAGCTGGTTAGCATAGTTAAGGAGCCACCCAGCTCTGGGTAAATATGTTAGTCATGTCGAGCGGCATCAGGAAGGCAACACTGGTGATTGGGGCTGCAGACAGTGTAACCTCTTCCTTTGTTGGGTTCCTCTGGTGTTTTTGGGTACAGGCAGAGGAGGGGAGACGGTATTTAGTATGAAGAGAAAACATTATAGTATAATGATCCTCTTGTGCTGCGGCAGCAAGGTCCCGGCAGCAGAGTGAGCAGACAGTC